TGTAGCCCGAATTGCTACGACCAGAGGATTGGCTCAGTGGTAGGGCGTAGGAGGGTATGGGAATGTGAAAGTTGGGCTCTGGCTGAGCCAGGTGGGACTCAGAGTGAGCAGGAGGCAGGTACTGCGACTCCGGCTGTGGGGGTGGCAARTAGTTGGACTTGGGTGGGGCAGGAGGCAAATAGGTTTCCTTTGGCTCGGATGGCGGTAGATAGGTGGCCTTGGGTGCRACTTGTGGTGGCGGTGGTGGTGGTGGTARGCTTKCTGGAATCTTGGGTGGCAAGTACTTAGGCTGCGGCTTGGCAGCGGGCAGATAAGTCTTCTCTGGCTCAGCGGGTGGCAGGTACTTGGTCTCAGGTTGAGCTGGGGGCAGATATTTGGTGCGTGGCTTCTGTGGTGGCAGGTACTCCGCCTTGGGCGTCTTCACTGGTGGGGGTGGKGGTGGTGGCGGCAAGGTAGGTGCCACCTTGGGTGGCAAGTACTTGTTTTGTGGCTTGGCAGCTGGCAGATACGTGTTGCTTGGCTTCGCTGGTGGCAGGTACTCAGGCTTCGGCTGTGGTGGCGGTGGTGGTGCTGGTGCAGCRTAGTTGTAGCCACTCGGCTGCTGTTGACGCAGTGCACCGAGATGYAGATCGATGTGGAAGCCGTGGTTRTTGCGATGGGCGTCATGCGAGTGCGAGTGGGCATGTGGGTCCTGGTGGTGCGAGTCATGGTGCGAGTCGTGGTGGTGCGAGTCGTGGTGCGAGTCGTGGTGGTGCGAATCGTGGTGCGAGTCGTGGTGGTGGGCATCGTGATGCGAATCGTGGTGGCTGTGATGCGAGTCATGATGCGATTCGTGGTGCTGATGATGATTGCCACCACCAAAGAGGTGCGACACATCGGCGCGTCCCATCGAACAGACGGCCAAGAGGGCCAACAGGATGCAGAATGATTTCTGCAAAGGAAATGTAGGAAAATTAGCAAAGGTAAACGAATATATGATTAACTAAATACCATTTCGAGTGGGTTTCTCCGATTGCCTGTTTGCTGGTCAAATGCAGATGCTGCTGCGCTCTGCCAACAACTGGAAGTAATGTCTTGGCCAGCTGGGCCATTGGCTTTTATACAGCGATGCCCCAGCAGCGAATGCAGCTGATACTGGCTGGCTCCCAGTTTAACATTTGGGAAATAATTAATAATTGCTATTGTTGCTGTTGTTGACAGAGAGAGCGAGAGCGAGAGTGAGAGCGAGCGAAGGCCAACGCATAATTTGCCCGCTTCACACTTTTCTTGGTTTTCTTGAACTTGAAGCTGGATCCAATTATTGCCGTGTGTTTGTTTATCGT